CACCAATGCTTGAAAGATTGCATGGTGATATTTGTAGTTCTATTAATCGAATATCTGGACTATTTCATTATTTTTTGGTCCTTCTTGATGCATCAAGCAAACAATCACATGTTTTATTATTATCACCTCAAAACATGGTGTTTGTTAATCTTATAGCTATGCTTATTTGTTTCTGAGCACTTTTTTTTGATTATCTTATCAAAACATGACATAGAGACAATGCAAAAGAATTTGCATCAAAGTCCTTTGAAGACTATTGTACTCCAACAAGGATTGAATTGACATATTGTTTTCTACACGAACATGCTCAAAATGGACTTGCAAAGTCATTTATAAAACATATATAACTCATTACTCGGCCACTCTTTCTTCATGTAAATTTACCTACATCTATGTGGGATCATGCAGTTTTGCTTGTTGTAGTATTAATATGCCTCCATCTTTTTTTTCTTTAAATTATTACACCATAAGAGCTCATTTTAGGTTGTATTTTAAATGTATTTCATCTATAGGTGTTTGGTTGCCGTACTTGGATTTCAGTACCAGAACCTCAACGATGTACCATTGGAATTCATCAACAAGAAGGGATATATATTGGTTTTGATTCACCAAGCATTATTTGTATGGTGGATCCACCAACTAGCATATTCTTATGTCCATATTTTTAAAATTACCATTTTGAAGAGAACATATTTCTATCTCTTCAAGGAGGAGTATTTAATCAACAATGAAATATAATACTTGTATTTGGAGTACCAAAAATATTTATAATAAATCTTGATCCTAAAACATCTTTGGCTGAAAATGAAGTTGCCAAGATTTTGTATCTAAAATGGATTACAAATAAAATACTTGATGGCTTCAATGATATACCTCGGATTACAAGAGTTTCAATTAATGAAGCTCACTATGAACCCGCTCAGATTGCAATACCACTAACAAATATACTTCAAGTTAAAAAATCAGCAATTATAAAGACTTTTGGACGAGATAAGCAACCACAAAAGAAGAAAGCTATAACATGTAGAGATTCTAGTATTGTTTCTCTAGAAATTCCTACCAAACCTATGGGACCATGAATTAATGACAATATGTCTATGCACATTATACCTTTACCTTGTGCAAGAGAAAATCTTAAAAGTAGGAGGAATAAAATCAAGTTGAGTATAGAATTATTTATTCTATACTATACTATAAATGATTCTTAGGATAGACCATCTATTATAATAGATGAATCATTTGCATTCATGATGAAAAAAGCTCTTTCTTATAAAAAAGAGGATCTTGATCCTGAAACCATTCTAGAAGCGATGAATCACTCTGATTGGTTATAATGGAAAATTACTATCGAGGAAGAATTTGCTTCTTTGTATAAGAGGAAAGTCTTTGGTCCAATTGTGGACACTCTTACTTCTCATCCTATAGGATATAAGATAGTATTAGTACACAAGCAAGATACAAAACGTCAAATAATCTGCTATAAAGCTCACCTTTTTGCTTAAGGATGTATCCAATGGTTTCGCATTGATTTTGAATCTATATATTTTTAAGTCATGGATTCAATTACATTCCAATATATTATTGGAATGGCAATTCATCACACCCTTGAGATGTGTTTCATGGATGTGATAACTGAGTATTTGTATAGTTCACTTGATACATATATTTATATAAAAGTTCTACTGGTTTGGAAACAAGAACTCCAAATGCACTTGCTCTAGGATAATATTATAGTATTAAATTGTACAAGACCTTCTATGGTCTAAAATAATCTAGATGCATGTGGTATTAATGTCTCCAAGATTATTTAATTATAAATAAGTTTGTAAATAATTCATTAATCTCTTATTTATTTATCAAACAAGATAAAATTGATTTTGTGATCATTGCTATATATGTTGATGATCTTAACCTAGTAGATGCTAGATCTGCATGCATTGCAGCTACTAACATACTTATCCATGAATTTGAGATGAAAATGCTAGAAAAAATAAATTTTTGCATTAATCTTCAGATTATGCATTTCATATATCAGAGCATTTTTTTCTACCAACTAATGTATATTAAGAAAATCTTATGGAGGTTCAATATGATTTATGCTTATCCATTCTTAACACCAATGGTTTGATGTGGTCATGATGGTCATAATCCATATTGTTTGTGCAAAGAGGAGAAAAAAATATTTGAAAGCAATATCTATACCTTACAGCAATTAGAGTACTTTTATATTTAGCCACATCTACTAGACCAAATATTGCATTTGCAGTTTGTGTTCTTGCAAGACACAATGCATGTCCAATACTATGACATTGGAATGGCCTCAAACATTTACTACGTTATTTAAAAGACACTGAAGATTTGGGATTATATTACACATGATCCGCAGATCCAAAATTGATTAGATATTTTGATGCAAGATATAAATCTCACATTGCAACAACTAAATCTCAAATAGGCTATTTATTCTTAAGATATGGAACTGCAATATTATGGAAATCAATGAAACAAACTATAACTGCAACTTCATTCAACCATGCAAAAATTATTGCCTTACATGAAGCATCTCAGGAATGTATTTGGTTGAGATCAATTGATAAACTCATTGAGACAACATGTGGACTTTCATATGATGATGCTCCAACTATCTTGTATGAAGATAATAGCGCTTGTATTGTACAAATGCAAATTGGTTTTATTAAAGGGAATAGGACAAAACATATTGATCCAAAGTATTTTAGTTATATCCATGACTTGGTTACTAATCAAGTACTTAAGATCAAGAAAATTGAATCTACAAATAACCTTGTTGATCTCTTCACCAAAGTTCTCCCCTTCTCTTTGTATAAGAAATATAATCCTATCAATAAACTCACTTCTTGTATGTGTGTTTACATACATGTGTATATTACTTCTAGCTGCTCTTGTATATCTCTCTCTAAAACATCTTCAACACATACTAACTTGCTGTCATGTTTAAGACTCAAAAATCCTAACTTTTCACAACCATGTGATGTCAGGCTTTCTCACACTCATGCTTCATGGTGGATGCAAAAATCCATTTTCATTGGATTTGCTTTCACTTCATAAACCTTTTCCTCTTTCATTGCTCTTTTTCTTTACTGATTTGCATGCATCAGGTGTAAGAAAAATGAGCACCTCTGTGAAAGGATTCACTGCTATGGTAGACCATAGTGACCCATATCCTTAATCAACAGAATAACTCCTTAAACCCAACTACTAAATTTAGTGACCACACAAGCTTACAATTCACAAAAAAAAACATCAAACCCAAAATGCATAACAAATACTTCCAAAAAACACACTGTTTGTTCACTTTATTTTAGATGTTGCAATAATGTCATTACCCACAAATGCAAAGAATCTTGTAGTTTACAAGGGCAAGTAATTTTTTTTGAAAAAACAAGTTACTATTCTTCTAACAACAGATGCATCACTATAACTCACACAAGTTCAAAACGCTGAATGTGACTGCATGTGACATAGGATACAGTTGCATTTCAAAGGAAAGTTTTTTCATGTCTTGTTAACTTTATTCTTCATGGGTTTTGTAAGTAAAGGGATCATTGATGTAAAAGGTACACACTCAGAACAAGAGACTGACAGAATTGAAATTCCAGCTCAATGGCACATGCCAGTACTTGGAGGAAGCAGCTTGGTCACAAAATCCTTTTTCATTTTTTCAATTTATTTTAAATTTTTTTTCTGGTTGACTTCAAATGATCTAAAGCAGAGGTGTTTATCTGATGGGAGGAATTGCAGCAATGGTTGTTTTTTTTTCACAGTAGAGAGAGAGAGAGAGAGAGAGAGAGAGCAAATCAGCCAATTAAAGTCCACCATTACCAAGCTCTGGCAAAGGAGCTCAGGTGCTACTAGTCATTACATGGTGCAGGGATGACCTTATGAGTGATAAATGAGGAAAAAGCAGAAGGAAGAAAAGAAATGGGGTTATATATATATATATATATATATATATAACACCCCTTTTAGTGAGGACAATCAATCCCTTCCAAGTACCATAGCCACTGCTGCAACAGCATCCGTGCTTTTCTAACTCATCAAATTGGTCTTTGAATTGATGCGGATCTGGGGAGAAACTTAAATGATAGATGCTTCAGGTCAGGGCATTTTTTTTTTTTTTTTTTTTTTTTTTCTCTTTTCCAACGTCCTCCCCTCTGGAGATCCTTGGATCCGGCTGCGGTTGCAGGCTCAGACACACGCAGGTTTCTGTGACATGCCGTTGTGGGTGTTTGATTGCAACGAAATCTGCTGGTTTAGGGTTGCAGGGTTTAGGGTTTTCGGTGTCTCTCTTTTTCGTCTTTCTTCTTCCTCTTATTTTTATTTTTTAGAAATGGGTTTGTAAAGCTGGCACTAGAGACTGATGTGAGAAGGTTCAGTCTAAAGCCATGGGTATGATCTCGGTGAGTTGATTGAGGTACAAAGTATGGTGCACCTGACAGAGCAGAGAGGAGCCACAGAATTTCAGGGGAAGATTTTATCCAGAAATCGCAGGTTCCAGGGTGTGAGTTTACCGCAGGTGGAAGGAGATTGACTCATGGATTGGATTCAAATCAACCGCGTACAGAGTTACTGCAGATGCCTTGCACGAGCATGTCACTGAAATCGCGCAAAGCTGGGTTCTCAAAAAGCTTCACATGGAGAGGGGCGCTCAGTCAGAGTAGGGGCTCAGCCATGTGGGGATGGTAGTCTGCCACCACCATTGTGTATGTTAATGCCCTTTCGTAACCCAGGTATTTCGATGCTGAAAAAATCAGCTGTGGGGATCCAGCAAGTGAGGTCCTAATGGTGCACAAGGGATGATGTTTCCAAGACTGGGTCTCTGTTGCTAGACGCCAAATGGTGAAGACCTATGTTGTGTGATTCCCCAGTGGTTTACGTGCTCTCGTTGAGTTGCATGTGGAAAAGGTGCTGCTCTGGAATGATAACCAAGTGTTAGTCTTCATTCAAAGCCCATGCAGTGGTATGAGAACTGATGTTCTATTAAGTGTCACAATCCGACGAAAACATGTGCGTGTTCATAAGTGGATTGTACTGGGACTCTAATCTGGAAATTCTGACAGCATTCTTTGCTGCAACATTGTCTCTCTGTTGTGTGCACGTCTTTCTGGTCTGTGTACAAAACAAGGAGTTGCGGAAAAGCTTCTTACTTGTTCATGCAAAGAAGTGGTATCAGTGCATCACTAGGTGAATATTGCCATTGAATCACTGGCAATGTGTGGGCTGAAGCACTATACGATCAAGGGGGTTTAGCTCATAGTAATACACTGAGCCCACGATTGCGTTGCATTGTGGTTGACGAATTTGGGCCATCAAATGCTACATTGAGATTATAAATTGCAGAAGCCCCAGGCTCAGATTTATCGATGCATTAACGGAGTAAATTATGAGCTAATGAAATGGAGGTGGGCCGGGAGACATAAAATTTAAGCTGCAGAAAAGGAAGTAAATTGGTGGTTTAAGAAGAGTCAACAGAATTGCACCATTGTCTTCAGATTCAGGTGCAATATCTTACTTCTCTTAAATGTGGTGGAAACCTTCATCTTGGTTTAGAATATCCTTCATTCAGTTCAGCCTCTAAAAAAAGTGGCCGAGCTCGGTCAAAAACTGCGCAATCTCAAGCGATTGTAAATCGGCCTTACCTCAATGCCAGAATTGGAGAGACGCATTACCATCCAAATAGGATGTCTGCTATATTGAAGCAGCATGTAGTGGTGAAGTTAGTGTTACTGTGGAGGATTGGCTGCTCCTATCTGTAGGCTGCGTTTTAATTGCACCTACAAGAGACATACAAGAGCAGTAGTCAGTCCGTTACCTTTTTGCGAAAAAATCTTCGATGGGGCCTCAATCATTGTGCGAGCACCTGTATGCTCTACTTTGGTGTTTCTACTCCATCCTTGGATCTGCAACAACACTGAAGGAAACACACGACCATCATAAGCAAGCAAGCCAGCAAGCAACATCCCCTTGCTGAAATATGAAAAACGCTATCAATGAAACATTTGGTTATGACAAGCTAAATGAGGGAATGAAACTACTGGGGATTTCATTGCCAGTTACCAGGGTGACGGTAATACCCAAAACGGCACATTTACATAGTTATCGTTGTGATGTCGCTTGAACACTGCAAGGTCAGTCGGTGAAATCCATAAAGCTTCACCCTCCCCTGCCTCCTCCATATTGAAGCTCTTTTTCAGAGGTGCAAACAGATCAAGAGCCATGTTCGCGGTTCTCTGCAGGGATACACGCATATCGAGATTAATCGGAATCTGCATGTTCTGGAAGCATCTGAAGATTCTGATTGATATAGCACTTTCTGTAAGGATATCTGCATGCTTTTTACTTTTTAAATTTTGATTTTCTTTTCTTGGCTAGGTCCTCGAGAAGATGAAGGTACGACCAATAATAACTGAGAAAACGTGGTTACATGTTAAGGCAAAGCATGTGTAGCCATGCTGTTAATTCTTTTACGATTTTATTTATTAAGAAAAAGCAGCAAGGAAGCTAAAATGAAATGGACAAAAGACAAAATAAATAGAGATGCGAAGCAACTATCCCATCATTTCTTAATCTGAGATGTGCGCGGATTAATACTTTGCGGTAGCAAATCCGACCTCAAACCATGTCGCAGTAAAGATGTAGATCAAGGAGTACAATGGCACACTGTTCTCAATGACAAATTAGAAACCAAGCTCAACAAATTCGAAGTCACCAGAAACGGTCGAAATAGACCCGTTGTACACGTGTTCACATTCGAGGTTGAGGTTGACAATGATACTCTCATATTCAGTAGGTGTTGTGAGTACTGGAAAACAACCAGGCTTACCAATAGCTCCTGGCTTGAAGCTTACAACCATTTGTACATAAACAGGAGAGATGAGATTGCTATTTCTTACAGAAAACACGATGTTGGTAAAGCAAATGGTCGTTTAGTCGCAAAATGCGAAGTATGTACACCATAAAATCGCTCGTGAAGTCGTAGATCTCCTCCCCAATTAAGCAAAGAGGAATGTATAGATACTCCTCCACGAGGAAAAACAGTGGGTCGTAAAACTTCTGGAACAGAAGGCCGTCCACGATGCAAACGAGGCACAGGGGATGGGTGTGTTCATACAACAACTCTTCAATCATGCACACACCGATAAAAACTGATATCAGAAACAGTATCCACACATCTTGTGATTGTAGCAGCTGGTTGAAAACTTGTGTGTTCATATACGTTTCATCACAACTTCTTGAGTCTTTTACTCAATCTCCTTGTGGATCATATGCAACGACTAGAAACTTTTGTCAGGTTAGTCCAGCGTGCTGGAATGATCCAGGCTCAAACAAGTAGTTCGAAAGCGGATCCTGCTCACTGCAAAAACAAGAGAAGAATGCACACACATTGACGACTCCTGTGTGCGTGCAGCCATGTTTTGAGAAAGGTTCTCGAACACACTCGGTGCACCAAATAATATATCAAATAAGATCAATACATGTAAAAATAATATCGTTGCTTTACCATTCCATAAAACCAAAACTTTCCAGATAGCCCACCAAGGATGTTTCAAACAGCAGATATTGCTTACATGTCTAGTGTTCACAGTTGATATTGTTCAGAATGACCTTGTAGTTTCCTTTCAGTTCGTGAGGACTGTTGAGACTTAACCTAATGCAATCAAATTACATATGCGAGATATAATCGCACATGATAAGGGAACGTAATCGAAGAAAATTCTGCCATCAGAATAATATTGAGATGTGTGGGCTACCTGCATGAAGTTGTGTCCCGTGTTCGTGTGATCCTTGAAAAGAATCGAGTCAACTAGAGAAGGCATGGGCACTTATTTGCACACATATTTTGCAAGGAACTCTATTTCTGCAACAAAATTTCAAAAAAAGAGGTGTAAAGCACTCACAAAATATACCGAACCCAATTGAAATGAACAGTTAAAAAAGAATGTTTAAGTCAGATTCTTACAGAAGAGTTACTAGATTTATTTATTTTTGCAAAAAATCTCCTCAAAAAGATTCCCACGTCAAATTGCATGCCCACAACATCTCTCAAATTCAAAGTGTCAATTCTTCAACATAGTGCAAATGACTGACAAGTTTCAACATTTTAGAGCACTAAAAAAAAAAAAGAAAAAAAAAAAGAAAAAAAAAGAAGATGATTCCGTTGTTTTTCTTTTCTCAATCAGATTATACGGTGTGATTTCAGAGGACAGAGCAATGATTCAACTTTCGCTGCTTCATGCCAACAGCGTACCCTAGTTAAGGCTTTAGCATCTGAGACACTGCATTGCACGACATCCCACAGGTTCCGATTGCCAGAGCCATTTGAAAAAGCACAACATGAATGAAATATACATACTTGTCGAAACTGGTACATTCGAGGACTCACTGAATAGCACCACCACTTACTTAAGACCATCTCATATCTTTCGTAATCCTCTTCATCCACAAAGCAGGGAAAAGCCAACTGAACTGTTATCTTCACAAACTTGAAGCAAGAAACCCCAAGGGATTCAAATTGTCACGAAAATACCTCCAAACGAATCGAATCCGTGTCGCCCTTCTCCTAATTCACACAAATTGAAAGATGGGTGCTGTAAATATGCAAAGTGATCATCGAAGCAAGATTGAGTGAGGCCCAAGCGGAGCTTTGGGGCGCGTGCCTCCTGGTCTGAGGCGTTCCCTTTCCGTTCACACCTTGGGAACTTCACCCACTCTCACGTTTGTCAACAAGGTCATTTGTGTTCCCGCCCCGATGTCGATGGCAGATTTTTGTTTTGGAAACAGGGGAATGTGGTCAAGGGTGTGAAGACATCGGCTGGAAAAGGATTTGAGAATTTGAGAATTGTTTTAGTGATTTTTGGGGTCGAGAGAATAAGACGGCAGCCTTGCTGTTTGGGTTCCGAGAGAGAGAGCGAGAGAGATTATGGTTTTATGCTGACTTTTACAAGATTGCTGGAGTTTTTAAGCTGATTGAGGTGACTGTCGGTGTGAGATTTTAATGCGAAGAGCTGCGCATTGGGAAGTACCAGAGAATTAAACCATTTGAGGGGGTGGACGCTTAATTTCTCGACATGGAGAAGGTGTTAAGCGTATTCAAGCCTAAACCTAGTCCTCAAGAGCAGCTGCGTGAGTGGCAACGCAAGCTGCGACAGGAGGCACGCAACCAAGAGCGTCAGATTCGTGGTAAGAAGTGGGTTTTAGGTTATTTTCTCCTATTCTTGTCCTAACCATTCAACTCCTGTAGCTCTGTTTTATTGATGTTGCTTCTGATAGAATTGTGGGTAACTTAGACGCGCTGTCGACTTGAGATCGACCTCTATAACATGACAAGGAGAAAAAGGTGTGTTTATTTGCATCGATGTACGATTGGGAGGACTTTGTTTTAGGGTGTTTTCAAAAAATTCATGTAGTGTATTTCCTCCCAGTTGTGAGATTCGAAACGTGCAGGGAGTAATCAGTGTTCACCAGGCACTTGTACCGATGATTTTTTCACGGCTGACATACTCTTCACTTCAGTCAGCCGTGCGAAATTTCCCTTGATTAACTTTTTTCGGGAACGCTTGTGATGTTTTAATTATGGCCATTAAAACAAGATATAAATTGGTGGTATAAGTTAGGGCTAAGAGTCTTACATCTGTAAGTTGGACTTCTGATTCGAATGATTAAGCATAAACCTTAACGTTGTTTGTATTTTCTAGAAATCCAACGGGAAGAGAAGAATGTACAGAAGGCTATCAAGGAGGCTGCCAAACGCAACGACATGCAATCGGCGAAGGTGATTTACATTTCAAACCTTTCGTGGCATGATCTTTGCATGGTCAATTTCCTAGGGTTTTTTAGCCTCCTCTCGTTTCTTAAATCAGCGTCCTCTTTAACCGTGACTGATGTAATAAGCGTATACGAAAGGAAATAAAGCCTTCGTTGCCAAGTGAATGTAACTCTGATTTTAAGAATGCCAGAATGAATATAGTAATATGTTAGTATAGTATGCATATTCGATTCTCTGCATTTGCTATCATTTGCATATATCATGCATATAGTCTTACACCTTTGACAGTTTGAAAAGAGAGGCTAACTCGTGGGCTTTAACTTGGGGGAGCTACAGTCTTTGGCCAGAGAGCTTGTGAGTTCCCGTAAGGTGGTTGGGCGCCTTTATGAGAATCGTGCACAACTCAACTCCATATCGATGCATCTGGGAGAGAGTTTGGGTAAGATGATCAACATGTTTGCACATGTCGAGGTTTCTGTGCAGGATTTTAGTAACAAAATAGCACTTGTGGAAAGCTGAGAACAAGACATGTTATTGAGACAAGAAACTGTCCGAATTACAGAATAGTTGGACAATGTGCACTGGATGAATTAATTGCTTAACGAATCGGACTGTGGATTGCAGCCACTGCACGAGCAGTAGGGCACTTGCAAAAGAGTACTGAGGTTATGACCCTTGTCAACAAGCTCATGAAGGCTCCTCAAGTGGCGGCTACCATGCAAGAGTTGTCGAAAGAGATGATGAGGGTATGTAACATTCCTCTTGGTATACTGCAGGAAGCTGCTTCTTCTCTCTTCCCTACTGAGATCGTTTCCATTGGGTTTGCTTTGTTGACGAAAACATTACAGTATGAAGGAGGCAGGGTTCTTATCAGTGGCTTTAAAATCTGAGAAAGAGAACTTATGTGGCAGGCCGGAGTAATGGAAGAAATGCTGAATGAGGGTTTGGACTCGGCTCTCGACAACGAAGACATGGAAGAAGAGGTAGAGGAGGAGGTTGACAAGGTGTTGTCTGAGCTTGCTGTGGAGACTGCCGTCCAGCTACCAGCAGCAGGGGCAAGCAGAGAGAAGCCTGCTAAGGAACGTGTGAAGCCTGCTTCTCAGGCTGCCAGAAAGGTAATGTATTTGTAGAACCGTACCCACAATGAAGTTGTTTGAGATTCCACTTGTGATCTAGAGTTTAAGCTGGGAAGGTTTACATTCATGACTGGAACCTCAACTCTTATCTCTGTTGGTGCAGCAACAAGAAGCGGCTCCAGCTGCGGAGGGTGGCAATGACGACGAAGAGCTGGACGCTTTACGTGCTCGCTTGGCCAGTGTGCGCTCATAAAGCAATTTATTGCACTTCTTTCAAGGATAACATGACCCGCTGGATCACTACCTCTCCAAACATCTGGTGTCTGAGAATCGGAAAGCTCAAATGGAGGAACAGTCTCCATTGCAGTTGACTGCAGTACATTAGAGATGTTGGAAAACAGGACAGACTAGAAAGAGAGTAGACGCTTAGCTTTGCCATGTGAAGCATGAAGCACAGCTCCATGTCCTTTGCCACGTTTCAGAACAGCAGCTGTAAACGTAGGACAACACCAACATCTGATTTCCTGCTGCTGCTTTAGCTCTGAGTACGCAAGCAACTCGAATCACTGCACAAAACTTTCCTCTCGTATTAATTTGTAATTATGCTCCCGGCAAAGTTGGTGAAAAATCATTGAATACTACTGCTTTGTTACGCAATCCGCAACCGGTCACTCTTTCTATCCACTGCCTCCTTTGCTATTTGATTCTCACTAGCTTCTTGCAACTGGACTCCAGGTTCTTTCAACCAGCAGATCTAGGCTTGCTTGCGCTGAGTTACCACACACCATAGTTATTCTTCTCTGGCAATCATTTGTGTATGCCATAGCCACTGATATGCGTTGTTCTCAATTTTGCACAACCCAGCCGTCAGTGTCTTCACATACACAACCTCCTGTTCCTCTCTTGCACACAATTCCTCATTTCGTCACACAGTGTGGTTAGGGCTCTAAAGCCAATCAGTAGGACCCCACGAGTGACTACAAAGGATGGGCTCCTCAAGGATTCCCCTCATCGTCTTGCACACTATGGAATTAGTACAAAAAGAATAAAGAAAGAAAAGAAAAGAAAAGTGAACGCCGCCGACCCACAAATCAAAAATCGAATCAGGAATCTGAAATAGTATCCTCTTTGCCTTAAGAGAACAAAGTAACATAGAGCTTATAGTGGGAACATCAATTCTAAACCCTAAGATTTTCGCGTCAGTCGTTCTGCTCGTTGAGGTGCGCAGGGGAACGATGGCATCGAGGTCAGGGCAACCGGTCGAGGAGGAGGATGCATCGGAGTTGAAGCTTGGGGAGGATTTTGTGAAGGCGAAGTGTTTGATGAATGCCGAAGTGGCGCTCGTGCTGCAGCGTAAGTACGAACAGTTGCAGCAGCTGGCGGATGACCCTTCCTCACAGATTTCTCAGGTGTTTGAAAGGAGTCTTCAGTATGTGCGGCGGTTCAGTCGCTACCAGAACCCTGACGCTGTGAAGCAAGTGCGAGAGGTTTTGACGAGGAACCAGTTGCACGAGTTTGAGGTATGTGTGATCGGGAACTTATGTCCGGAGACCGTTGAGGAGGCCAAGGCACTGGTTCCGTCGATTACCAAGAGGGGGCGTATGGACGAAGAGAAGATTGAGACCATGCTTACCGACCTTGCGACAATCAAGAAGTTCGAATAGTGGGTGTAGTACCAGTGCTCTTGCACGGTCTCTATTTTGGATATTTTTGGGGATGTGGGTGGTTGCGAACATGCTTATGCACGATGGAGGGTGACTTTCGTGGGGTTGAGACCATGCGATAGAACTAGTATTTTGGACACTTTGTGTAGGAGATAAAACTTACTTTTGTACAGAAAGATTGCAAACCTATGCGTTCAGTATGTTAGCGTATCGTAACAGCTTAAGATGACTTATGTTCCATTCTATAGGATCCGGTATTTCTTTTCTCTGGTTAAGTCAGCGTCTTAGAGGTTTTCAATTGTGGAACTTTACTACTTCTCTTAAAATATCAGGAATGATTGAATGTATCTAGTCTATAATGATCTTGCGAACAAGATTTTATTCATCTGCTTTAGGGATTGAGTTCTGGATTCAGGACTGTCTTTGGGAGTTAATTTTTATGCATGTGTATGTTCACCTGCAAGTTTGAGGATTTCAACGGGACAAATTGGTATGTCATGGAGGAAATTGTTTAGCAGAGTCAAGGAGGACGAATATTCTTCAGCAACCTTCAATATGAGATAGAGCTGACTTGAAGGGAGATACTGATATACTTATTTATATTTCCAATTATTTTGGAAAGTGGAAGTCAACAAATTGTTTTAGATATCCCCCGAATAAATCATGCTATACTTATCTACAATGTCGAGAGGGCTCATCTATTCCAATTGTCAAACTAATTTATGGAGTTTCAATCTACTGTTATATCACAAATTAGGGTGGTAGTGGTGTTTTCGAACATGTCAATGCCTTCTTTCGTGCTGTAGGACCTGCGCGGAACAAGTTTAAGCCATTTTGAATGAGAAAAATGGTTATCTAACCCTATTGTGTTCGTATACCTTTATGTCCCCAGTTTAGAGAGAATGATCTCAGTTGGAATGTTAGACACCACGACACAAGATCCTTGATGGTTTGACTGGCAGTGCATGTCTGATATTACGGATATGGGATCTAGATGACTGGCTTACAGAGAGTAGCAAAGCAGGGTTGTTGAAGCGCTGGATCTTCTTCGATGGAGGGTGGCGTTTGACCATATATCATCTCACAACTCATGTCCTCAAAGTCTGCAAATCTCATACGCAGTGGTTAAATTAGCAGTTACTTCAAAGAATTCACCCGTACGCGACAACGTTACAGACTACGAAAGACATCTTTAAGTTTAGAGACGGGAATAGAAGGTGGTTGAAGATATCGTAGACGTACTCTCACATTAGTGTGCGTGGGCGAAGAGAGCAACAATTATCAAATTTAGCTGTGCACCAAAAATGCCCTAAAATTTGATGCTCTTGTAGCTAGTAGACTGATACTGGTATGAGCAGGATGAGCTTTGTGTGATTGGATTTAGAGACATACTTGGAGTCATGGTGAGTGGCACTCCAAGCGAGTTTGTGAAGAAATCTTGCGTGGGAATTTTGCACAGATTGACGCACATTCCCACACAGTTGCTACTCTCCAGGTACCTTTCACCAATGACACCAGCAATTACCTCAGAAGTAAGAGACTTGTAGCATGTAACAGATGATGCTAAAAAGAAATCGTGGTCATAGCGTGATTGACATTCAACTAATGCTTGATCGACATACCTGCACTTCTTAATCAGCACTCCACTCTTTTGCATAGTGCCATTCACCTCCACTTCCTTGACCTGTTAATTGTCAGGAAGAGTATGAACCCAAATATCACAAAGGCTTGAGAACTTAATTACGGTCATCACTCTATGTGTACGGCTTATGAATCGCAGCAAATTGACTTCAGCACACATCGAACCCATGGCCACAATCTGAATTAATTTTATGGCTAGTTTAATGTAGTTACCTCACAAGGCCCCACCAGCCACTCCGCATACAGGGTTGCAGCTGCAAACGTCTCAGCAGTCTTTTGATTGTTGGGGAGAAATCTCCTTATCTATGCACAGGAATACATCATGTGTCAGTGGAAACCCCAATGGGAACGCACATCTGTGACGTCGTTAATAACAATCAGCACTTCCAAGGCTTTGAAGCTCTCGAACTGTAGGATTGCTTGATGATAAGTGGCACGATATTGAGGCTAATAATCGGCGACCTAATCTGGTACAAGAATTCATCTGTTATCTTAGTGAGAAGTGTTTTACAATTTTGAGAAGCCAGGGCGGGATTGCGGAGTGGAGAACTCGCATTGACGACGCACGCTGCAGCAGAGGACTACGAGTTTCCATCACCTTGCGTGTGAGCTCCACAAACCCATCGTAGCCCTTCTTGGTTGTGGAAACCCCTGTCAATTTCATGCACACAGTTATGAACTCATCCCTAAAATCCACCCACCTGAACCACTGACTAGGCATGTCAAAGACTACCTGCTTTCTTTTCAAAGAATGAAAATTGCATTGTGACAACACCAGAGCCGTCAAAACTATGAGAACTAAAATTCAGTGCAACTCTTGATAATGATCAGTGCACCTGTGACGTTGCCCAACCGACGCATGCATATGCTAAGAATCGTGTTATCCAGCCACGAATCTTTATAATGAGTTTTCTTTCCCATGGGAGCCGGCTTCCCAGATGGCTCCGCCATTCTACACCGAACCATGTTCACGCCATCCGGTCTATGCCGTCGTGGCTGCTTTAATTCTAGATGCGAGGCAAAGGGGATCCTTGTCGCCCCTCCGCGGAGCGCCTCTAGCTGTAGCAACATTTCGTCGAATTGGAGACACCTCAGTCTGACCCTCTCAAGGAAGAAACGCAGCGATCAACAGGTCTTCAGATCCTCAGGGTCAATTCTTTCATTGCACAGTTTACGTTTCTGAAGATGATTCTTCTCTGCTTCTTCAAAGCATCACCACCCACAACTAGTCAGACTAATCGTCCAATTGCCTGCCACCTATTCAACATCAGCAGTTTTTTGACTCATTCCCAACAACTGATCAACCCACAAAAGTTTCAATCTTCCATGTTCCACTTCCACGTGAGATCCACAAACTAACCTCATACCCACAGCATGTTTCATTTCAGATACCTAAACCAGGACGCCACTTCGCAACACCTCCATCCGATCAGAACTCAAATTTAACCATCACAACACCAACTACGAACCACCAAAGTTTTCAACACTCATGAGCTCAAATCTCAACCAGACACAAAACCACAACCACCCTCGAACAATCCGATAGGCGATCGCACTAAATCCTCACAAAGACAACCCACCAGGGAACGAACTAACAACATACCAGAGCTGGAATGAAGACGACAACAACAACAGCACGCGGTGAGCAAGACATGGACGGGATCGAGACTCGCAAGCAGCTGTTCCACAGAAAACATAAACAATGCGCGTTCATTTACTCGCGGAGTCACGGCATTAATGGGTGCATTTTTTTCTACGGTGACAACGGTGGGGGTGATCATGACGACTAGTAGGGAGCGATTGCGGGCGGTTGCTTGCGGTCCGTGAGGCGAAGAGTAGGAGGAGGAAGAGAGCGGGCGACGACGCGACGCGATGATGCGCGACGGTTGCTCTTGGGGAGGCGTAGACGCCTCCACCACGGCCTGGCACCTCGCACGGCCCGGATCAGTCCCGGGCCCACGTGGACGCCACTCTAATCGTTGCTTCGGCCACGCCAGTCGCCGGCGTTGCGTGTCGCCGCCAGCGCTGGCGTAAAGAGCCCCCTGGCTAGTATTAGTGCACTTGTAGACTTCACTCCACCCGCTAGTGTGGGTATATCTACGTTTTCTGAAGATTTTTGTCTTGTGCTTGTGGGGCTTCATGGTGTCTAGGGTTGGTTTGAAGTGTATGGATTTTTTTTTTTTTTTTTTAGTTTTATTTATTGATTATTATTATTATTATTATTATTTTTTGGCTATGTGGATATTTTTCATGTTCTCTTGTCCTTGCTTTTACATTGCAACCACACTATTCATTTTCATTTAAAAAATTTCTATTCTATATGATTTTAATGTGGTTGCTTGTATAGAAACTTATAGTTAATGTAATGAATAAGTGGTGGGAATATGTTGTGAATTTCTTGGAAAAGAAATGTGAATGTTGATGTTGGAGAATTAGCAGTGGTGCATTAAGAGGGATATGCTAATGTTTATTTCCTATGCCATTCATACTATAAACTTTGTTTATAGAGTAACATGTTAAAGCAATAGGATTTTGTATTCTTCTAGAGGAGGTAGAATTTAATTGTTAAAACTCATAGAGATTATTTTTTTAAAATAGTATCACAATAATAAATTTAGAATAAAGAAATATCATGGATTTTTTGTAAAGTGATCATAATTTAGTTAAAATCCATGGATTGAAGTTCTTGATATCAATTAGAAAGATGTCCACAAATAAATACATGTGTTTTTTTTTAAAAAAAAAAATATATGTAAGATATAACATTGCATTTGATATCAAAAGTATGAATAGTATAAATATTGTAAATATTCTAATTATAAAAAATAATATGTGTGTATGTGTGTGTATATATATATATAAGAAAATGTTAAAATGATCCACCCATTTACTAAATCAATCCATCTTGTTGTGGGACCAAGGGAGAACAAGAGGGATTAAGATGAGAGTTGGAAGTGGAGGGAGGGGAATGATGGGGCTTGGGATGAAGAAGATTGAAAACGGAAGGAATGGAGGCTGAGAACAAGGAGAGTTGGAATGAGGGCCATGATTGAATGATGGTTTTTGGAGATGATCCATTTTTCTAATAATTGTTACCATAGAATGGATCAATTTAGTAAATAGATGGGACATTTTAACATTTTATTATTATTATTCTATATATATATATATATATATATATATATAATCATATTTCTATTGTATGTTTGTTTGTGTGTGTATTTTATAATTTGTTTATGTATGGATATTTTATTTTTATTTTTTATGTCTTATTATTAAATCTAATGTTGTTATGTAAAATTTATTCATAGAAATTTTTATAAAATTTATTATTATTATTGATGCATCATAAAAAGAAAAGAAAAGAAAATATTTTTTTATTTTTATTTTTATAGAAGCTATTCTGTGTATTTAAAAACTTTCATTTAGAAGGCAATAATAACAAAAGTTTATGTAAGAAGACTATATATATATATATATATATATACATACATACACATACATACAAAGACTACTAAACCAAGATTTTAAACAAGTGATATTATACTTGGGAATATATTATATTCAAATACGTATATTTAAGTATATACATGTATGTATATACATACACATATATACAAATCTATATATATATATATATATAAACATAATTTTATAATCATAGTTAAAAATAATTGAACTACTTTCAGAATTTTAAATTTTTTAGAATGTTACAAATCTATATATATGTATATATATATATATATATATCATTGAATTGCATTTGCAAAAATACTTAATTGCATACAAATATTGTTGCAAATTCTCTTAATTGGAAGAATTAATATCAATATGATGAAATGAAAATTTTGAATACAAAGACTTCTTAATATCTTAAAGTTGATCCAATTATCATCAAATAAAAGCTGAAATCTAGCACAATTAAAAAATTAAAAATTAAAAATTAATGTGGATTTATTTATAAAGCAAAGATTATTTTTACAAAAAGTATAATATTAAAAGAATAATTTTTTTAAAAAGAATTAAAACTAAGAAAGAAATTAATTTATCATTGATACTACTTCAATTGCTCTAAACAAAAATTGCCTTTATTATGTGCAATAATTAATTATTTAAAGCATCTAATTTTGAAATTTTAGTAGTAAAGTTTTATTTCATTTATTTTAATGTCTCATCGAAACCATCAAGAAACTTACAGAACAGATAGAATATTTAGAATTATTAATTAATTGATTAATTATATATTTTTTAATTTTCCAATAAAAGAAAATTATTTATATTATTCATGAAGGATCTTTAGGTGTTTATATGTATTTCTTTTCAATCTAAAGATTCTTTGATTATAAAATTATTCAAATAAATCATTAAATCCAAGAATCAAAGATCCAATTATTTTAGCCATACTTATGCTACAATCTAATCATGCATAAATTTATATTTCTATGCTTTCAAATAATGTATCAAATAATATAGCATATATTACAAGACAAAAGAGTTGAAAAGACTCAATATACATTCTTAAGTAATAATTTAATAATATAGAAATTCATTTAGAATTTGATGTTTTTATCCTAAGTTTTTCTATTTCTACCCAACCTTGTATTGCACCCACTATAACATTGTTATTGTTTTGTTATCCATTGTATTTATGCAGTAACTTTACTTGGGCATTTCAGAAGGAAAATTTGTGCTCTCTCAAGACCCATGTCCAAAGAATTGTAGTAAGGATACACATATTGGATCTTCCTACCAAAAACAATCCCCACCATATTGGATTACACTGCTGACAAGAACAAAGGATTGCTCCATTAAAGCATCAATCAAAGCAAAATCACTTTAGAGCATGTCACAAAACAAAAACAACAATAATAACAATGTGGTGGATGCAACACAATGCTAGATAGAAATAATAAAACTCTAGGTGGAAATATCAATTTTCATACATGTAATAAATTGATATTTAACAATTTGCTTTTGTTTATCAAAAATTTGAAAGTTATTTTTTTAAATCTACATATGTACATATATATATCTAATAAAGAATTAGAAAAATAAATTTATGTAAATATTATATTAAAAATAGAATTTATTCTTCTTACTATTAATATTTTGACTTTTTAGACCTTTGAACAATCTTAATGCATCCAAGTTTTAAATAATCTCACTTCATTAAATAACAGTTTTATATATCTTTTTACTTAAGTGTCTTTCTATATATATATATATATATATATTTATTATTAGATACTTGTTTTTAATAAGTCATATGAACTTATTTTTTAGAAATTTGAAGTACTTAAATTTAAAAGATTTTTATAGAGAAACTATAATACATACAATATTCATGTAATATAAACTTATATGCATATGTGTATTGATTTTTTTATATCAATTATGTTTTTAGACATAAGTAAAAATTGAATTACATACTTGATTAAATGAAGGAATGAGTTTACTTATATGATTAAAATAAATTATCATTGACATAAGATTCTTAAAATCTCAACATAAAGAATATTTTTAATCAATTAAAAACTTTATGAACAAGAGTTTTATCAACAAACATGATTGTTTTTATGAGTCAAATAGTAGTGGATAGCAACCCTTTCAACACATAATGTTATATTCATATGATGATAAAAAAATTAATAACTAGCTAATTACTGATAAAATATGGATATCAACACCCAAAATGTAGATGTTTCTATTGTCACCCTTCATTAAAAGTTTCAACATGTAATTTCAATAGCACTCAGGTTTTAAGATTCATCATATAACATAAAAGCTAGTATGACAGTTTTAGAGCAAAAATGAAAAAACAATTTAACTTAATCAAAACAAAACAAGAAACAAAATCTATTTATGAAACACATGCATATCTTTTGGCATAAGGCCAGTGAGCATATTCAAATAAATTGTTCTTAAATTTTTAGGGTTTCATATGGATTTTGTGTAAAGCTTGTTATACTTCAAATTTATAGGATTCCAATGGATCAAATGTGAAGTAAAACGAGCTTTACACAAAACAACAAAGTGAATGTGAAGAAAGATAATACAACTAACCTAAATTCTTAGATTGCCATAGCACCTGTAATTCTAATTAGTACGTTTATACTTCATCCCCAGAGCTCTCACCAAACCCGCACAAATTGATTAAGCCACTGAATGCTTGTCAACAATTCCACGACCCCCAAATCAGACTTATCACAAAGCTATGTGTGATCTTTCTGCTTATCTACGAGCGAGGTTTCAAGCAAGCGAAGTATTAGTAAAGATTTCTTATGAAAATTTTCATAAAAGGTTCTCAGATTCAGTGAAACCACCATCATCGAAATGGGCACTAGCTTGTTGCCAAGAGTTAGATAGATCGTGCTTTGCAATGACCTTGCGAGCACAATCATCGTAAAAGCAGAAGCAGCAATGGTAAATCTTCATGATCCGAATGTGCCATTTGGATTTCATGCTGCTATTGTAATTGTTATAATATGGTCACTAATGGCTTAATTTGGTGCTGAAGATTTAGCTGATGAACACGCTTACTCAGAGAACATAAACGAATTCAGAGATGTTTTTCACACGGTAACGAATCATCGGTTTGGATACAAAAAAGGGAAAGAAGATCTGAGTTATCACGATCATAAGCTAATTTTAATAAGCAGGTTAATCATTTCCTAGTAATGGCAAGCTATCAGAGCTTACAGGCTGTACCGAATTGAGTCGGCTGCAAAATAGCCCCATCGTTTCTGATCACCACACATGGTAAATTTATGTCAACTAATATGGAAACTTACTTCTTCTCTTGTTCGGCTAAGCTTGCAGCGTACGATGGAGGAGGCCTAATGACAATGCTCCTCTTCCATTCCCTGTCAAGCTTCCTTGACTCCCGAAGTCCAACTCCTCTTTCGATTTCCCTCTCCCGCTTCACAGTTAACATCCTCGCAATCTGTCATCATCCAACCATGAAGTTCGAAATTCAAATTTTCAGTAGGATGCATAAGGATTCGCGTAACGCACTGCGTACCACGTAAGGCTTCAGGGGTCTGTAGACAAACAAAACGAATGCTGCAAACAAATGAAATTTCCAGCGGCGACTGTGCAAAACCTATCCTCCTGGTAGTGAAGGGTTCTAAGAAATTGAGCAAAATACGAAGATGGAGGAACTTCTCGCAATATTACTCTGAACACCCCACCCGCCATTCCCCACAAGGATAGTAGCAGAAAAAGAAAATGCACTTCCTAATCTCCACAATGCATAGCAAACGGCAGAATTCCCCATCACGTACGTTTTTGTGAATGCGACGAAACTCGCTGCTCTTGTACTCCTGCCGGGTGGCCTGCTTGGTCCGCAACAAGAAGAGCTCTCCCTTCAAGTCCACAACGGTCTGGTTGATGTCCTCGTCGCTCATCTTCCGAATAGCCACAAGCTCCTCCTCGCGCTTCGCCATGTCCACGACCAGCGGCACTCCATGTCGGACAGCTCTGCGCGCTTGAGGGACCGACGCGGACAGCGATTTCAATCCAGGGCAGAAGAACGGCGACACGGAAACTGATGCGACTCGGGAAGAAGCGGCAGTGTGGGCAGTGCAGGCGGAGAGGGAAGACGCGGAGACGCAGGCCACAGCGCGACCCACATCAGCGACGCAGGCCATGGCTTGAGAAATTGTACGCAACTCCCCAAGAGAGCACAATTGAAGTAGGATTAGCGAGGAAGAGAAACTACAATGCTGCTGCTGCTGCAGATTGATCGACAACGAAGAAGAAGAAGACAAACACATTCGAGAGTGAGCTCCGCGACTGTGAAGAAGCTGGCCCTGCCTCTGGGTCTTTGCCGTTGCTTCAGGATAAGGCTCCCTCTTCCACCACCACGATGGCGCGCCGTCGCAGTTTTCAGTTGGTCGCCGTCGTGACGTGTAGACAAGTACCGTCAACAGCGTGGTGAGTGGAATATTACCGTCGCCGTTTGACGATGGTCTCTGTGGCGATTTGTGGGCTGTCGCAGTCACTTTTTTTTGTCAGGATTAGTGTACTTTTAACATTGATGTTTCATGATATGAAGCAATGCATTGGAATAAATGATATTTTGAGTGGTTTGTTTGTACTTGGATGCAGAAAAATTTCACTAGTTTTGCATGAGATTCTGGTGGATGTGTATGTATCTGTATATACATATTGCAGATATGTTCTGTTGTTTTGTACAAACATTGAGTGTTGTGGCAATGCATTGTTGTTAATATTTTACCTACAGCATGCTTTTTGACAGTACAACCTAAATGAAACTGTATTCATTCTCAGTAATTTAATATTGATATTAAAATTGTAGTTACAAGAATCACTGTAATTTTGTTGCAATTAAGTCTGTAATTAAAATAAAATAAAATAATTGTAAGAGTGATATTTTTTACAAATCAATTGGATTTTAGAAAAGAGCAATATCCAACACCTTGTCAAATATTAAAAATTATATATTTATACTATAATTTTTTTAACATTAACGATGTTTAAACGTTTAATGTACTTTTAAAATTTGTAAAAGAAACATTATCCAAAGTGAAAAGATCCCAAAAATGATCATTAAAGAAAAGTGTGCTTTTTAGATTACATTTAGAGGGCGCAACTTTGGTCTAATTCAATTAATTGTGACATTTCTTTACAATTCTAATCTACTAAAAAATGCATAAAATTGAAAATTTAATTATCAATTAATTTTCTGAAGTGATAATAATAATTGAGGATAAAATATAATTTTTTATATATGCATACCAATAATTTAAAACAAAATATTATTTAGATTTTTTTTCATCAAGTTATCAACTATATTAATTTTGCCACTGTTAACTTTATTCTTATATCTCAATAAATTAGGCTTACAAATTACATTTTCTTTATAAAACCCTTCCATTACTAATCTGTTTTGGGTACTTAAAATTTTGAGATCTTGAAGATCCTTGTTATCTTTTTCTTTATTTAATTTTGTTTCACACTGCCTTTTCAGGAGAAAATGAAAGTAATTAGAATATAGACATGTAACTATAATGAATATTAACATGTGGCCTTACTAGAAAGCTTTTACTTTGCAAATGATAGATCTACATCAAAAACGTCCTTCAAGTTGCGAAAGTAGAACAACAAAAATGACTTCATGTAAATAAAGAAAGAAGGAAAGAAAGTGGTGGTAATAGTAATCAACAATTAAAACTCTGTAAATAAATTCAATTTTCTTAGAATTTTTAATTTTTTTATAATTTAAATTCTAGTATAAATGTTTTATAGCTACATGTTTTATATTGCAATATTTTACACTAAGAAAAACTTTCCATTTATTTAACAATATTTTAAAATAAAATATCCTATTTTTATTATAAATATAAACAATGAATATCAACACTAAGATTTTTTAGCTTTTCAAATCAACATTGGATTTTTATTTTATTATTATTTTTATTTTATTTTTTGAAACTTTATAACAAAAATAATTAAAATTAATTTCTAAATTTGTCATGATGAATTTTCTATTTGTAGAATTATTATTGTAGAATTGATTAAATTTTTAGTTATTTCATTTAAATGTGTAATAGAATAAATCCTAAGTATTTTTCTATATTCTAAAACTATTTAGCTAAGTATAGTACCAAATGACTTTGTTTTTTTTAAAAAGAGTTTCTTTAATCTAAATCTATGTAATCTATATTTAAATAAATGATATAATCATGTGTTTAGTCTAAATAAAATCTAAATCTCAAAAAATTAAAATCATATATATATATATATATATATATATATATATTATAAACATCACTAATGAATTCAAAGATAGTATCAACCAAACTATTGATAGTATCATACCTTAATGTTTTTTTTATATTTATAAGAAACATATCATGTATAACTAAAGATCTTTAATAAAATATTTTTCATATTAAATTGTAATAATGAATATCTTTTGAATTTTTCATCTATATTGTATTTTCAATTTATTTGATGGTTTCCATATAATATTGTATCTTTTAATTTGTGCAAATATGGTAGGTACACATATAATAATAGAAAAAATAGAAATATGAGTATTAAAGAAAATATCATTTTATTTAAATTAAAAAATTATTATAAAAAATAAAATTATTAATAAAATAAGTATAAAACATCAAAAATTATAGTATACTAAAAAAAATTTAATAAAAAAAGTTGAATATTATACATATTATCAGAAATTCCTAATTATTGAGTTTTAATTTTATGAAGTTAATAAATTTTCATGGTCCGAAAAAATTCTTAATTGAACATGTAAAAATAAAATAAGTGTCTTCTGTATTATAATGCTGAGTTTATTCATTTGTTTATATGTTGCCATAGTGTATACTATTAGTTGTGAGAAGGTAAGAACATCTAAATATATGTATATAATACATGGGTTAATCATGACTACTTCTTCTACAATACATACATACATACATACATACATACATATATATATATATATATATATATATTACAAATCAAAACCATAAGATATATACAGTTGCATTTTATATGTATATTCAATTCTAGATAAGTTAAGTTTTTGAAGAATCCTGCAGTTTCCAAAGGACGTAAACTTACATCAAAGAAGTGTCCACTTAGTAGCAGAAAGTAAAAATCCATGGTGCTGAAATTAGATCTCTTCGAGATCAAGATGCAGGATTTAAACGTTAGGTTTGAACACAACTGAATCAGAGAAAGATGAAGAAGGAAGAGAATGTGAACGTCACAAGCAATATTGTTTAACCTAGTAACAAATAACGTGGAAATCAACAAATATCACAGATAAGAAATAGATAGACAGTAGCTTTAATAAAATAACTAAACACAATTTATTCCAATTTTTAATCTTTCATAAGTGTGTTTTATTTGCTTCTTTAGTTTTTGAATGGTGTTAATAAAATATGTATTGTTTCTAATGTAATTCATTAGTATTTATCAATAGATTTCTATAACATATTATCCCCATAGCAAAGTCCTGGCGCAACTTGCGACTTAAAACTTGCACTGAAAATTCCGCCGCAGCTTCCGACGCGGAGCTCTGTGACTTTTTCCACCGCCAGCGTAAACGAGACACGTCAATTTATCGACAAGAACCCAAATTTACCGCCAGGTCCACATCGGTTACTAAACCCCCATCCCCCTGATCTGCTGACATTGCCTCTTAAACCTCACACTGCGTCTGTATCTGAGTCTGACCATAAAGCGGAACCTGATTTCATTTCGTCTACTGGTGTTTCTAGCAATCTGCTTCGAGGTTGCAGTTCTCGTCATATCTCGCGAGTGAATTGATACTGTACAAGATCTGCTAGTTGACATGGCAATGAGGTACTGCCTGTAACTTCTCGTCATGCATCCTGCTTAACTGTGAATTCAGGAGTGTCTGTGCTGGGTGCCGCAGCTCGGTGAGTTGACTCTGTGTTTATAGGGGTGAACGTGTGTTGCCCTGTAGATGCTTGGATTTTGTTGAGATGAGAACGGTTTCGGTGACTTATGGGTGTGGATTCGGCATTAGGTGGTGGTCAAAAAATACGGTGGCGGTTGTGACGGGAAGCAACAAGGGACTTGGCCGCGCCATTGTTTTGGAGCTCGCGAGGAATGGCGTTACGGTTGTGTCCACGGCGCGAGATACTGCGAGAGGGCTTGCAGCTGTCGAGTCTCAGGTGAAGGCGGAGCCGGAACTGAAGGATCTTATTCATTTTCACCCACTGGATGTCACCGTCGAAAAATCCGTGACGCAATTGGCGTCTTATTTGCAAAACAACTACGGCGGTGTTGATATACTGGTGAGCATTTTTGGCTCATCTCCTACCAATTGAGTATTTACTTTGACTACTGGAAATTTTCACTGGATTGTTGGTGATGATGCTGAGGTCACTTCAATTTTACTTGTTTTGTTTTTCCGCTTGCACTAAGATTGGTGTTGATTGACAGATAAACAATGCAGCGGTACAGAAGTTCTCGGAAGAGTATGACGATGCGGTCGAAACAATTGAAGCGAATTATTTCGGCGCGAGGAGAGTCACCGATAATCTCTTGCCACTGTTGAGAGCTTCGCCTTTCGGGGCTCGCATTGTCATGGTCTCGTAGCAAGTCGGTCAAATGGAGAATTTTGATCACAATGAGTACTTGAAGGCGAAGATCCACGAAGCGGTGGGGCAGAAAGACGAAAGTATTGTCGTTGCCCTTGCGGTGAAGTATTTGGAGGATGTGAAAGCGGGGCGGGCGAAGGAGGAGAATTGGGGGAAGAATCTTCACCAGTACAGAGAGTCGAAGCTTTTTATGAACGCCTACACCCGTGTCTTGGCGGCGAAGACGTCGAGCAAACTCGAACATCAGAAGATTTTTGTGAACGCCGTGTGCCCCGGAGCAATGAAGACGGACTTTTTGGAGGAGTTTAAGTAGAAAGTTGGCGAAGCTACAGCGCAGGGGTATATCGCCGCAGCGCGGTGGACGCCAGTGGAAGATGCGGCACAAGCGTCAGTGTCGCTTGCCCTCCTGCCTGTGGAAGAGTATCCTCATGGGAAGTTTTTTGTTAGGAAAATTGAAGAAAGATCATGGTGATCAAGCTCCGCTATGATTACACCAATTACGTCATTCAGTGAACACCCTCGTGAAAACTAGGTATCATACTTCTAAAATCTCAAGGCATTAGTACTGCACAATTACGAAACACTTTAACTTGCAATATCATTAACGTGATGATTCTTATATTCATTCCTGTAGTTCCGGTTTGAAGTCACTGTGCACGGACTTGGTTTGTATATCTCCAAGGCCTTCGAAATTATTCCTGCAGCACTATAATCTAATTCGGCAATAGCAAGCCTGCACTCATTGTGTTATGTCTTATAAAATCCAATCTTTTTTTTCTGTTCTTAACAGCCACACCAATTAACTGTAGTGCCTACATCACTGAATAATCAACGGACACCACAACCGTATAGAATTGAGCTGCACGGTCCACAAAGACAGTGACCAATTGCTGACTTTTAAGACAGTTACACATGTGCGGAAAGTAGTAGTACAGTACACCTTTTGCAAACTTAAAAACTGCTCGTATACACATTGAAACAGCACCCCACCAGTATTTGCACGATCCTGATACGAGCGACTCCTGACATTCAAACGCCACATGGATCCCATGCACCAGCCGATCTCGCAAACAGTGAAAAGAGGACAAGTGGAAAAAACATCCGTCTCTCAACAAACTCTCACATCCATGTAGCAGTTAACGAAGGCCAAAACTCCGATTGTGAACACACTTCCGACAGTGCCAACATGAACCACCACTTTTGAAATTGCAGAGTGGTAGCTACATCAAAGCATTGTGGCGACATCGCCTGGTCGTCACACGACCCAAATTGGGAAAACGTGAGAGTTGTCGGTTGTTGAACGGATTACAGTGCAGCAAACGTTTAAATTCATACTACAAACCAGCAGAACTGTTTCACAAGCTTCTGCTACATTACAGTTTGTGACAACAGGGATCTAAGAGGAGCAGAAAAATCTTTCAGAAGTGGTCGTTCAAAATAACAACACTTTACATGATGTCAATAAATCTATGACTCATCCGGCCTTAGCCTCTCTCACATTCTCCACAAATATTTACAAAAGAAAACCGCATATGCCAATATTTATGCCAGCTGCAAAGGCAAAATTACCAAAAATTTCAATTCAAGATAACTGCATCTTCATTCAGATACCACGACCGCTAAAAGCTGACAGCCGTGTACCATCAAGCACGGTTGACAAAGTAACTGCTTCTATACATGGTAGCTCAGGTGGCATAAAGTCTAGAAAAGTTCTACAGATATCATACATAAACAAAGGACTTCAATAGCAGCTCGAATTCAATCACACGCTCAACAAGTTCTGCTAAGTGTGAAGGTCTATTTTTATAACCTGTGCCCGAGCGTGCTACAAACTGCATGACGCTTCCCATAAGGATTACAAAAATTAACCTAACCAGATGTCACTCAGATCAAAACCGGCCTTCTTAGCCACAGTTTGGAGGCGATGTCTCTTAGGTATGTCCAAAGTCTTCGTTGAAAGACGCCGCTCGACCACCTCCCACCAGGCCCGCTCTTACTGGAATCTGGGTAGCTGCAAACGATTTGTTCCGCGGTTCGCAACAACAAGACCTTGCACTCATTGTTAACATTCTTCCCTGTAAAGTCGCATCGCCAGCCTAGCACATTACCAATCCCCAAAAACCCACGCCACAACAAGCAGAGCGTGATTAACCGCATCTGCTTATCGGCAACCACATTTCCAACGCACGTAGCTATGTCGAAATTCAGGCGAAACCCAACTCGACGGCGAACCTCTTAAACGTAAGGGAACTGAGGACGGACTACCTCGCGCATTTAACGCCAACACAGAGCCGGTGTTGGACGCAGCTTGCTAGAGGGGCAGGCGAAAGAGCTGCCCGAAAGCAGGAAGCACAGGCTTTGGACGCTGTGAGCACGCAAGCAAGGTCTTCAAGAAGGTCACCGTCGCCGTTGCCGCAGTACCGTGAGCGAGTCTTTGCAACGTAATACTTCGCAAACACGAGAATGCGAGCGTTGTAAGACTCCTTGCTGCAAAAGACGTCGGAAAAAAGAAAAAGAAAAACACGGCCAAAAGTCTTGCACTGCACCGCTGATGCACACACAATCCATATCCCCAACATGACAAATCCAAGCCTTTACAGGGAGGAGGTTGACAATTGTTGCGTAATCCCTTGCATGGCCCTCCACTCTGCAACTTGCGCCAAGGATTTCAAGTTGCACATTACAACAGTATCAGCAAACATGTGAGTCTCCTCCCTCGTGTTACCATCTGGTACATCAACAACATAAGACTCTAACACTGTGGTAGTCTGCCTGCCATTTACCTCCTGCTCATGAAGCGTGGTCACGGACCGATAATTCTGCAGACGATGGCCTCCCTTCAACACCCTAAAACTAAAAACATGCTTCTCATCGTCAAGGATTTCCAACCGTTCTATACTGGAAGTGGCTGGAACACCCGACACCAGAAACACTTCTCTGATACTCCCAACCCCACCATCGCCCACTGTCAAGATACAAGCTTGTATAAACTTCTTGTAAATCTGTGGACTGCCAAACGACCTCACAATGGACCACACAACCTCTATGGGTGCATGGATCTGCTGCATCAATATAGAACCACACTGGTTCAGTTCTACTGTCTGCGAATGGAGTGCGTACGCGTGCTCCTCCTCACAAGTGAAAAACCCACGTACATCGTTATGCCCAATATCAAACCTCATAATGCTCAACCTGGTTGATAAATACAAGGACGTACGCACTCTACGACGCCCAAAGTCCTACACCCAACTCTCCAAAACTAATCCTGGTTCGAATTCTGAAACACAATTAGTTCTTCGACGAAAGAGAGAGCGCGAAAGAAGGGGGGAGGGGAGAAATAGACAGACAGCCAAACAGAGCGAGAGCAGTCAATCCACGCTAAGACAGTCGCAATCTAAGACCTCCAAACACAGTCACTTCGACAAAGATCAAGCAAACAAGCATCTATAGACAGCGTCTTCCAGCTCCTGCAAGGCTCTGCACAATAGGTGATGGATCACACCAAAGGTCTGAGACATCCAATTAGTCACACGACACCCCTCCGCAACTGAGACAACACAATGGCATCGAAGCCCCGTGAAATTAGCTTCCCGAGAGTGGCGTGCGTGTCGCACCTCCCGGTACAGTTTGTCAGACTCCCTCAATCAGCCGTTGCCTTCAATTGCGGCCCCTGAGCGTTCTAGTAGATTCTAGAACTGCGAAACGCAGATTCTCGAGATGCTAGATCCGAAGGTTGTCTCGAGAACGGCGAGCAGTGAGTAGTTGTAGTGAGCTCTTACCTCCTCATCCAAAATTCGCTTTAAAATACCCCCCAATATAATACTATAAACTACAAAGGTGTCCTTCATCTTCTCATGTAGTTGGGACACTTTACACTTTCGTATAGCAGTTATAGGCAAATACATGCATTTGATTACATTGGTAGCAATAGCAGAACTGGTAATATTATGTGCCATTTCATTCACAACTTTTTGTGTACATTGGTTGTTTTAATAGTTTAAAAGTAAGACATTTCAATGCAGATGAGATGTGGATGAATTGTAAATCACGAGTAACAACATTTCCATTACTAAGCAAATCTGAAGGTCAATCATTCTTGGGGACTAATTTAAAGACTTCAGGTAATGTTTTAAAAATTGTCCTACATTATTCAAAAGCTTCCCAATTTTCTGTGTGTATGTGTTGACGTGTAACAACATGGATCTAAACAAAAATAGAAATGAAATGGCATTTCTGGTTTGTAGAGAAGCAGCTAATTTCAATGAAAAGTATTGATACATTAATGTCACATTGGTTATCGTTCAACAGAAGAGCACACCAGAGCCATGCCAGCACATACAGTGGTACTAATATTAATATTCTAAGTGGAAAATATTCTGGAAATAGCAACACAGTCAAGTATCAAGCCCAACCACAGCTTTTCCTAAAGTGCTAAAGAAGAATGAGGCAGCATAAATATATTGAAAAGTAAATGGTTGATATGATGTTAAATATATCAATTGACAATTGATTGAATAGCCATGAAAGCTCTAAGGCTCAGACCAATGTTGTCTTTTGTTAGTGCCAACAAGGATACAATTCCTGAATGCTCTGCACTCCCTTCAATCCAAGGTTTCCCATGTGTCAATGGCATGCCAACACATGGCATGCAAATTTGTTGGTTTGACAGGAAGAATCAATGCCTGTCTTTCCCAGCACTTGCATTTGCTTGTGCCACAAATTAACTTTTTCATCCAGTTGAAGAGCTTCAGTCAATGTAAAGGTGAGTTGTGTAGTATCTTTTTACACCTTTCGGACAAATCTCTGGGGAAAGAAGAGGAACATAAAGGGAAATGAGAAAAACAATACTAAATTGGAATATTCAATTTTTCTGTCACTGCAGTACTTAGTACCAAAGAGGCTTGGGAAGTTCTGTCCATGGTTATCCAAAAGGTCTATTTAGTATGATATTTTCACATCTTGCTTAGTATGTAACATGATTACCTGCCATTCATCTTAGCTCTTGTAAACTAGATTCAATGTGGCAAACATTGTGCTTTGAAAGTGGAGTAAGAAGTTGAACTTACCCATGTATCCCAGTGGGTGCACAACGTACAAGCCCACATGGGTAACATGCCTTCTAGCATCATGTGGATGAGGCCCACAACAGTTTTTACCCTGGATAAGCTCCAGAACACAACTTCATGCATTTCATCAAGTTTTGGAAATAACCAGGTGAAGGGGGCTGTATATGACCACAACAATTGAACAAGGATTAATTTGTGCAGACAAACAAAACACTAAAAATACAAATTGAAATTTTGCATCAGATTTGTCCCCATAAATAAACCAAGGCTGAAGCCAATGGTATCTGTGAAAGTTAGTGACAAAGTTCATCCCTGTCAAACGACTCTGGCTGCTAATTCAGAGGTCTTTTGAGTAAAAACCTCTGGCATTGAAATCTTAAAGAAAAAGATGTCTGCAACCAAGACACCCGATATGAGAGACAAGGAAGGGCATCACCACAGAATCTTCCACTTATTTGGATTGCAGCATACTCTAAAAAGCTACTCATTACCTACTTAAGAAGTCATGGCTGTTAGATATACTATCCTTCGACGGTCATAATTGGTAGTTACTATGTAACCCTAAGTTATTGAAACACTTTAGGCTTTTCAGCTTTGAGTTATTCCTGTAAAATGTTACAAGTTTTGTGTCCGACGACACATCATCAGCCCTAGGCAGTTATCAAATGAGTGCGCGAATAATTCACGGTGCATCTGGTGTGTAAATCTAAATGAACAAGACATTGGAGACTCTACCCTTAGTAGGTCCAAGTCAGCTTGTGGTTTCCGTGAGTAAGGAGTGTGCAGCGCATGCAAGCTTTTACGGGTAGGTGCCTGCAAGAAGTCAAAAATGATCACTTGGTTAATGGATAAGATCTGAATGTCACGAGACTCCAACAGCAAAAGCATTAGAGCCAGATTCGATGCTCTTCTGGGAGTTTTGGTAGAAATTATACAAAATAAACATCCAAGAATCGCTTACAGGTCGTGCGATCATTTAAAGCTTGTGACAAATGAGCTACCTGACTTACCCCAATGCACAAATTAGAAACCAAATGGTTTCGCCAAGGGATTCTAGTATCAAACATGCCTAGACATGGCACGTCACACATAGCAAACAAGGGTATAACATGCATTCAAGTTCCCGCAATGGACGTATTCAGGTGCAGCATGCAAAGAAGATAGTGTGCATTGACAAGAGGGATTACTACACTACCTGGATCAATGGCTTTTCAGAATTTCAGAACCTCGTCAAAACTCGATACCACATCCACGTTCCTAATAAACACTTGCCCACCGGAACAACCACATAAGACTATATATCCACGCCTAGAGCTCGCAGTTGGCCTTCGATGAGCTTGTCCCAATCCTTTTTCGCTTTAGGATTGGCAGGGCTTGGATGCATAATGTCTCCCACTTGAGCTCCAGGAGGAGCACACTCTTTTACTCTGTCACCTGCATATTTTCCTGCATCCCAACCAGCCCACCCATAAACTTCTTGAAAATAAATATCAGAAACTATAACAAGCCAAAATACGCTGCCCAGTTGTATTTACTTCATTAAGTCAGTACCATTAGCCCATACCTCTTTGCCCCCAGCGAGCACCGTTATCTGAGTAAAAACGCCGACACACTGAGACAATGAACTAAGAGTAATAGTGACAACATTATATTTGAGCAGAGCCTATGTAGTCGCAAAACTCTTGGAAAAGTGTCTAGAAATAAAGGCACTGACCTACACCAACAATTACACGGGGTTTCGTCACAGCAATGACACCTCGAAGAGCTTCATTACAAACACTTGTAATTGAAGCTTTCTCAGAGGGAGTCAACTTGTCTGGAGTACGGTTTCTGCAAAAGTTAACTAATAAAACTCAGCAACACAAAATACTCTTCGAACAAAACAGTGTCGAAACACATTATCACTCCAACTTATGGAGAAACCAGGATATTTGTAATCAGAATGAAACTCGAAATTCAGAGAGACTTCATCTAAAATTACAAAGACATGGAGCCTCAATTCTTAGATTTACCAAGCTAAATAGTTGTATGTGATGTCCAATAAGGGAAGCACACCCATTTCCTCATTTTCAATAACTGAAACATGACCCATAATGGTTCTTAATAACAAACTGAACCTTTGTTGATTGCGACTCCAAGGCTGTACGAAGGATATACTTACTTGCCAGAACTCTCTACAAACAAAAGGGGACAATAACTGTGGATCCAAAAGCGATCGAAAAATGCACTAGCTGTGCCGAAGCGAGCTTGTACCCAACTCCATACCCTTTGTCCACTCACCTGCTCACAACAACCATCCTTGGTTTTAACGAAAATTTGAAAGAAACAGTAGCGAGGCTTTCGATGGACCAATGCCTTGAAGTCAGGCCTATGTACATCAGCTACAACTCAGATGGATAAAACAAAACAAAATAAACTTCTCCACTACTCACTGGGCTGCACTAGATAATCGAAGACATTCCGATTTTAAAATGCGAGAAATTGATGGATGAAGATGGGGTCAGACCTCACGACGAGGACAGTTCAGGCCAATAACGGGCCGCTTTGGATGCATTTTTTCTGGAAATTCAACCTGCATTGCACCCTCAAATCCAGTCAACCATAACACCAGGTAGATGCAGTTTTTAATAAGAAATATAGGTTTCAAATACAAAAACATTAACCTATTACAATACTATTTACCTCGCTTGTTATATGAAGAAATTCACGAGCAAACACACTATCTCCAAAAGGCACTCCTGTCTTCACACCCACAATGATCAGATCAGGATGTCAGAAATCCTTCTAACGAAACTGGAGACGATCTTCAATATGATCATTGCAAAAAGTGCAAAAGAATCTGAGAAAGAAATCAGACCTGAGTCATTCCAAAGGGACCTGGGTTCATGCTCACAAGCAATACCTCTACTATCTTACCCCCTGTGATTCAAGCACCACACGTAAACAAGCACATGCAACTCCTTAGCCAGGGAAAAACAGGACATGAATGAACAGAATTAAAGCATCACCCCGCTAACAATGGGTAGAATAAGATATAGTTACATTTCGAAATAACGTACGAGGTTCGAATATCTACAAAAGAAACAAGTTGAATTTGAGGAGAATACCCACCATATTTTCGCACATACTCTTCGTGAGGTTTTCTTGCATACTCCAGTGGATTGTATCTGAAAAGCCAGGGCCGCAGCTTAGACATAACTCATTTAGGGTTGCTGCATACATCTCATCAGTAACATGTTATGTTCAAAAGCCTAACATGAGTGAAAATGTAAGGTGAAATTAGATCTTTAGCCAAAAGCCGAATTTCTGAGTATTAAAAAATCACAGAGCTGTACAAAAAGAAAAAAACATAAATAAAGAAAAAAAGGATAAAATATTTCGTGCTAAAACGGAGTAGAGAAAAGTACAGTAAAACCCAAAGCCCTAGAATATCAGGCTCCCTGACAGTAATCTAAATGAGATGGTACAAATTGGGAATCTTAAGACAGTTGGCTCCGAAACTAACAGAACCAAAGAAGAAAAACAATACTATATAATGTCGCACCGCTCTGAAAATATGAACACATGGAACAAAGACCTCCAAGATCATCTTACACAAATGCAACTGGCAGCCGAAACTTGAGAGGAGCAAGAGCCGCTACCATATCATCCACAACCTTCAACAGAGCGTCACATCCTCCCTGCAATCATGCGACCCATCTTGCTTTCAGCAGTAATAAACACATAAATAAAAAGTGGAAAATTTTCAAAAACACAACAGTGTAGTCAACCGGATTGCACATCACCAGCAAGCCGATTATTCATCCCCACAACTCAACTTCCCCGAGAACATGACACAACCATCACAAACCAATAACATTCACTGCCGCAAGACTGACCCCGCGCGTAGTTGATTTTCTTCCACCGATACTCTTACGCCTATAAGTCTTCGTGTCCTCTTCCTCATCGACAAGAGCTTGTCCTCCATCTCTCCTCTCGCCATTCTCATCCTGTCTCTCCTTCTTCGCCTTCTTCCCCCTTCTCGAATACCCTTCCAGCTTCTTCACCCCTCCCCCTCCACCCACATGACTAAACTCAAACTCGGTAAAATCGGGCTTCGAATCAACAACAAGTCCCGCCCCTTGCTTCCGTTTCCGAGTATAGGTAGCTATGAATTCCATCTTCAAACACGAACGACCCCTTCTCCCCCCCCC